TTTTTTTTTTATATCCTTGTGTATTTTTTTTTTTTTTTTTTTTTTTTTTTTTTTTTTTTTTTTTTTTTTTTTTTTTTTTTTTTTTTGGTTTTTTGACACAGGGTCTCCCTGTTGCTCCAGCTGGCCTGGAACTCACTAGGTAGACCAGGCTGGCTTTGAACTCACATAGATCTGCCTGTCTCTGCCTTCAGAGTGCTAGGATCAAAGGCGTGGGCCACCACACCAGGCTTTCTGTGGTAGTTTCTCAACATGCCTGTCCACATTTTCCAGCATGGCAGATTTCCAGGGAAGAAATCTTAAGAGGCTGACTGACCTCCTAGCTGGTGCTGAGACTGAGCCACTCCTAAGTGGTCAGAGCTTAGGCTGAGCTCCTAGACTGCATCTGTGGGAGCCAGCCCAGACAGCTGCCTTGTTGGGCAGGGAGAATACTGAAATCATGGCCCCTCAGAACAAGGAGAGGAAGATTAGTTTGATTGCTGCTTTGGTTAATAAGGTCCAGCAGTTAGAAATTCTTACCCACAGGCCATGCCAATGTCATAAGACCCATTTCTGATGCCACCTGCAACAAAAGCATTTCATAACCATCCTTAGCTAGAGTGGGTCTGTCCTGGGAGCAGCACAGCCCCTCCCCTCCCTGTTCTCTAGGTGCATTTGTTGAGGAAGCCTCAGAGACAGAAGACCCAGAACACCACAAAAGGCATGGGTCTGAGATAAGGGGTGGTCCTCCACTCCTCTGAGACCTCTTAGAAATGCTTACTGCTGGCCCAGCACAAAGCAACTTTGCTCACTCAACTACAGGGGTTCAGGGCCAAGGCCAGGCTATAGCCATGGAGACTCAGCAGTCATAACTTACCAGCTATGTTGGCCACTGCCTGCAGCCCAGATGAGCACTGTCTATTGACCGTGGACAAAGGCACAGTCTCTGGGATGCCACTGAAATAGAAGGAAAATGGCAGTCAGTTCTGGCCACAGGTTTCATGGATAGCAGGCTCCATGAGGCTCGAGTCCCATAATGTCCCCAGTAGAGTGTACACAGACTTGAGGGACAACAGGCAGCCCTGCTCCCACCAGGGCAGATCCATGGGAAAAAGTGGGGAGCCACTGGGAAAACCCTGTCTGCAGTTATCTGCTACCTAGGGTCCCCAGTTACATGCCCTTCTACCCTATGATTCTCAACTCCAGGGGAAAAAAACCTGTTTGGGCCACATTTTTCTTCCTTCTGAAGACTTAACAATGAAAATTAGATATCTCTTTTGCCCACAAGGAATAGAGAAGTGAGCTTTTTGGTAGGACAGGCCACCAGGGCAAGAGTCATGTCTCACAGATAAAGGCTCCATGCAGCCTTACCAGTATTCACATGTTTGCGAGCCAGCAACAGTCTGCTCCTACCTGAACAACGACTTCTGTAGGACATAGTCATTGGTTTTTCTTTGGGGGAGGGTTCTTTTTTTTGAGATAGGGTCTTACTATGTAGCCTGGCTAGCTTAGAATTCCCCATGTAGACTAGACCTGCCTCTGCCTTCTGAGTGCATGGCCAACTAATTGTGTTTAAATCCCTTGCTCTTCTGGCTTTCCCACTGGGCTTAGTCCTGGGAGCTATCTGGTCACTTCCTCCTGATGTAGTCTGCCTTTGGCAACAGTACAAAGCCCAAGAGACAGGTCTGTGCCCGCCTCAGACACACTCACAACCTCAGGAAGTTCCATGAGAATCTTTATAACAATTCTGTGTGGGCAGGCTCTTAGTAGGTGGCTTCTTAGGCTTGATACACCCCTTTTAGGTACCCTAATTTCATACTACCCGCTTGTCAAACTCCTTTCCCTAAACCACCAAGTTTTCATTAAATAACTACTGAGCACAAGGTGCCATGTTAAGGAGTCTAAGATACTGACAATACTGTGCCCCAGATGTTGCCCAACCAACACAATGAAAATGAATCCACTGGCAGAGACTGAAATAACAGAGCCAGATGGCAAAGTCACAGGATACAAAAGCACAAAGCCACCCACTGGACAGGAGGGCTGCTTATTTGGAGCTTGAGAGCTTGAAAAAGTCAAGCCCCACAGGTGAAGTGTTTAGGCAGGAAGTGGTGAGAGCAAGGAGAACAGGGAGGGACAGCTCTCCCTGGGGACAGATGGGCAGAGTAGAGAGGGTAGAAAGCAGACGGGATGGCTGAAGGAGAAAAAGTAAAAGCGAGGAAGTCAATAAGAGAAAAAGACTAGGGGCTAGAGAGATGACTCAGTGGTTAATGCACACATTGCTCTTGCAGAAGACCCTAGTTTGATTCCCAGCACCCACAACGGGACGCTCACAACTGTTTGTAAATCTAGCTCCATGGGGATCTGACGCCTCTGGCCTCCATAGGCACCTGCACTTACATGTACATAATTAAATATAATAAAAATAAAAATCTTTAAAAGAGATGAGATTAAATCAGGCATGGTGACGCACACCTTGGGAGGCAGAAGCAGGAGACCTTTGTGAGTTTGAGACCAGCCAGGTCTACACAGTGAATTACAGACCAGCATGGCTACAGGGAGACCCTGTCTCAAAAAACTCAAACTCCCTCCCTGCCCTAAAAGGAGAGACGAGTCTAGAAAATTAGGAGATGAAGTGAAGGATACCTTAAACCCCAGGCTAAGTCTGACCCTCTCTCAGTTCCCAGAGGGTTTTCCTCTTTCCTTGTTTTGTCTTTGTCCAGTATTCTTGATTCATGCAGCAGGAGGCGGGTCTTCTATCTACATGTGCTCCCAAAGTAGAAGGGCCAAGATTCCCAGGTGGGCTCCTCCCAACTCCCACCTGCCTCTGAGTACTGCTGCAATTCTTCAGCTTCTGATGGGCTGTGTCTCTAGTTACCAGGTTGCTCAAGTAGTCACTAATCAGCGTGATGTAATTTATTTTTCTAGCATGTGAGGACAGAGTCCATACTTCCAAAGGGTAAGCAATAAGTTGGTGTTGGGGAAAAAAAAAATCAGGCCACCTTTGCTCTAGTCCCAAAACCCTGGGTGCCTTGGCTGGAGGCAGGGTACCATACCTCCACTAAGTAGAGGAAACGCTGGGTCCACTACAGAGATTCTAAGGATTCTGGTAGACTTGGTATCTGCCATCCAACCTGATCCTCCACCACCCACAGGCTGGTCCCAGGTGCCAGGATCCCCACTAAGGGCCACAGAGTTGGATTCAGAGGTGGAAGGATTACCTCAGAAACTGGGCAATCCGTGCCATGAGGGCCCCGGCTCCTGGCTGAAGCACATTGCCTATAAACCGAAAATAATCTTATTTACTGCCAAGTGGTGTTTTAGACACAAAGGTTCACCTGTGAATCTTAATGAGACATTTCAGATCTTCATGATCACTTCAGGTTCTTCCCAAGCTCCTTTGAAGCTGTGAAAGTTCAGGGACTGGGGAATGGGAAGTCAGCACACAACAGTCTGTCCTGTCATCCACCAGCCCAGCGTTTGCCCAAGCATCCAGACTAGGTGGGTGGACTGCCCTGTCTTTAGGGTAAGAGGAACACAGTGTAAATCTTGAAAGCTTATGAAACCAGGCCTGTGGGCTGAGGAAGCAAGATTCTAAAACTGCTCACCTTCCCAGTGTCCTCCTCCAAGCTGTCACTGCAGGGAGGAGGAACTGGGACCTGACCTAGGCTGGCATTTGCTGGATGAAACTGTGTCCTGTATTGTGTTGTTATAGTTCAAGGAGGGAAGAGGAGGAATTAGAAACACGGGTGGAGTGAACATGCAGGCCTTGTGTTTAGATTCAGATCTGGCACAAATTCCAGACCACAGTCTCTGCGCTTGTAACTGGGGCTGGACTAGATGGTTTCTGACACAGGTGGGATGTCAGTGTAGGTAGAGAATAGTGGTCTCCCACCTCCTGGAGTCTCCTGGAACAATTAGACTTTAGAATGCCTACCACAGGCACTCCTGGTTTCCACTCCACTTAGAAGGAAGATGTGCCTAAAGGTGGAGCAAATGTGTTCAGGATTAGGCACAGATTCGCCGTATGGGGACAATCCCACTAAAGTCAGTTGAGCCCATAGCCTTGTCCCTCAGTGAAATCCGGTCTGGGGGCCCTGGGGAGAAGACAAGAGGGCGGGGAGGATCCAGCGCAGGGCCTGACAGGTGCGCTCACCCACGGAGATGTCTCCCAGCTGCTCCGGCTTCAGCTTCACGTCCTGGAGAACCGCGGTCAGCACAGCAGACAGAAGCTCGTCAGGGGTGGTGTCCTGCAGGGGGGTGTAGATGCGCGGCGGCTGCGAACCCGGCTCTCCCATCCCCACCCGGGGGACACACTGACCACAGCTCGGGTACACCCGGCCTCGGGGAACCCAGCAGAGGGCGGGCTCCCTCCCGCACTGGCCTCCTGCGGAGTCCCGGCCTCCTCCCCAGGCTCCTCACCTTGAAGCCGCCGCGACGTCCGCGGCCGATGGGGGTGCGCCGTCCGTGCACCACCACCACGTCGTCGGCTGAGGCCTGCGGGAAGCCAGCGGAGCAGGGTGCGGCCTGCAGCGCGGAGCTGGACCCGGGCCTGCCGGCCAGGTGGCCCAGCACAACCTGCAGCCGATACATGGCAGAACAGGGTCCTGTGGTCTAGCCTGGATTCTGGGCGCAGACCTTGAATTAAAAACGATTATAAGCGCAGGCGCAGAACCGCCCCTTACCACGCGAGGCCTAAACGTAGTCCACGGCTCTGCGGGAATAGCGTCACGGAACCTCTCAAGGTTCTGCCCACTCCCTGACACAGCCAGCCAGAAGGGTCTGGCTGAGGACACGCCCCCAGATGCACGCTCCGCCTTCCGAAGCCACGCCCAGGACGCGCTTGCCACTCAAAGCCCTGCCCACCGCAGCCAATCAGACTTATAGACCCTTAAGCCCCTACTGGAAACGCAGTCTGACAACATTACGGTTTTCTCTACCTTTTGTAGTCATACCGGAGGCGGGACCCCAAACTTTTGGTTTCCTGAAATGAACTTGGCCTCCAGGTCGCCCTTCCCCCAGTGCTCTGCGCTGTTTGCAGACTGACTGAAGGACTGGAGCCCGGCCCACCGCTTCTCGCTTTGCTGGGAGAGCTAGGCGAGAACCCGGGTTCTTCCATCCGGAATTTCCCTGCTCTGCCTCGGGTCCCAGAGCCCAAGACACAGGACCTAAATAGCGCTGAGTCCTGCCCCGACGAGGTTAGGGCTGTCACGCAATCTCTTTTGGATTCCCAGCTGGCGCAAAGAACAATTTTACAAAGATGATCAAAGGCAAACAAGGTCTTTAACTATAGATAAGGGTCCTCCATGTCTTATACCAGTTTTATGCCTGTTTGGTGCCCACCATAAGAGGGATATTCACCAGGGCCGGGGGGACCCCGTGAATCAATGAATGAATGAAACATGACTCCCCGGGACTGGACTGTGTCCCCAACGTTAAAGAGTAAGAACCAGGTGCTTCCTCCCAAAGGCAGATTTTCTGCAGAACCGGGAGTGTAGTACTTGGCTTGTCCCAGATACCAAAGGACAAGACACCCTACGAAATACCAACCTTGGGGTCGTGACCCTCCCCCTTTGAAGGGCAGCGCCATCACCGGCCCTTGACTGCTAAAGGCAGATCCAGTTTCCCCATTGCTACCTCAAAAGGCAGTCTGTCTCTCCATATTGTATTACTAAAAGAGTTATGTGCCCCTCAAGTACCCCGCAGGGTGACTGGGTCACTCCCCCCCTCCCCCATCACCCTCCACCTTCCCCGTCCTCTGGAGGCAGAACCGAATAACCTCTTAGATTCTCCATGGAAGGGATGTAACGCCATCAGATCCTAAACAGCAAAGTTGTTTTCTTACAGCCCCCAAAGCTCTCTTTAATATAATGCCCTCTCCCCAAGTATTGCCACCACTACCAGATCCCCAGGACCAACCCAGGTGTCAGCCTTCTTTTTTCCGGGTTCGGTATGCACCGAGGGCAGTGGCGGGTCTCCAGATTCTAGGACAGGGCGGCGCTTCTCGGAAAGTGAAAGAAGGCGGGGCGGCAGAAGCCCAAGGGGAAGTAGGAAGCTCGGCAGGCGACCCGGCCGCACCGAGGTTCTCCCGTGGCTCGCCATGTCTGCAGAAGACCCGCGCGCGGGGTCTGTGTCCTTGGACTCCTCCATGTTCTCGCTACCCTTGGCTGCGCTCAACGTGCGAGTGCGGTGCCGCCTATCGCTGTTCTTGAACGTGCGGTCCTTGATGGCCGCCGACTGGACGTCGCTGGCAGAGGAGATGGGCTTCGAGTACCTGGAGATCCGACAGTTGGAGACGCGCCCGGACCCCACCGGCAGTTTGCTGGACGCCTGGCAGGGGCGTCCCGGAGCGTCGGTGGGCCGGCTGCTGGAGCTGTTTGCCACGCTGGATCGACAGGACATACTACAGGAGCTGGGGCCCAGCATAAGTGAGGATCTTGCTTTCTGGCCTTGTGCCCGGGTGGGGGAGGCTGGCCTTTCCATGCCTCTGTAGCCAATCTTGCCTCGAGGGACTCTTCTGGGGTGTGCCAGAGAAGGGAGGGAGAGAGGGTATGGTTCTCTGTTAATATGCCAGACAGGATAGGGACGTGGAGAGAGTGCAAAAGTCCTGAGCTAGGTAAAGGATGTGGAATGAACTAAGGCCTTCACTTGAGCCAAGAGTCAGGATGGCTTCCCTGGGGTGGCCCAGCTGTGTCAGGTAGAGCAACAGAGCAGGAGAGGGACTTAAGCCCCATCCTCACTGCACCCTAACCAGGTACCTGGGACTTTCTAACATTCCAACCCTTTCTCCCACTGCCCTGCATCCTACAAGAAGCCTACCATGACTCCAATTTCAGAAACTTTAGAAAGGGGATCCAGTATAGTATGGAGGGTCAGAGAGACAGACACCCCACCTGATCTTAGTGGCTGCCCAGATAGCCAGACTATCACTGATGTCCCTTTAGGAGTGTCACAGAAGGAGGTCAGCTTGTCAGAGCTATAGCGCTGCCCATGGTACCAGGGACTGAAGGCCCAGAGCCCAACATGGGACAGTGGAGGAGGGGGATTGATAGGGGCTATATGCTGAGTGCAGTTGGAGAGCTGGGGCCCCTGGAGAGCCTCTGTGAGAAACACCCTGTTTCTTCTCCACAGAGGAGGACTGTCAGAAGTACATTGTGAAGCAGCAGCAGCAGGAGTCTGAGAAGCCCTTACAGGTGGCCAGAGTGGAAAGCAGTGTCCCTCAAACAAAGGAGCTGGAAGGCATCACGACACTGGATGACCCCCTGGGTAAGGGCTCAGTATTCCCTTGACTAGGATAGGTGGGCCACAGCCACAGGACAGTGTGGTGTACAGAGCATAGATGTTGGAAGCAGATGGACCTGGGACCTTGGATAAGTTACTTACCCTTTCTGAGCCTCAGTTTTCCCATCTAAGAAATGGAGATAATAGTAGACCTATCTTTGGGTTGCACTGAGACTGTAATGTAATGATATGCCTGTCATAATAGAGGACTCCAGGCTGGGCTCCTCTAAGCCTTTCTGTAGAGATCTGACCACCATCCTTGTGCCCTGTTCCCAGGACATGCTCCAGAGCTGTTTGATGCCTTCATCTGCTACTGCCCCAATGACATCGAGTTTGTACAAGAGATGATCCGGCAACTGGAGCAGACAGACTATCGGCTGAAGTTGTGTGTGTCTGACCGTGATGTCTTGCCAGGCACCTGTGTTTGGTCTATTGCCAGTGAGCTCATTGAGAAGAGGTTAGTTGGGCATCTAAGGGAGTAGGTGGATGAGTACACAAAGCCTGAGGTCCAGATGCTAGGCCTCTCCTGCTAGTCTCTGTCTCACCAGGGCTCAGAGGCCTTTCCTGAGGCTGTCCTCTGGTGTAAACTAAGGAAGTCACAACAGCACCTTACACCCTGCTTCCTTAGGTGTCGCCGCATGGTGGTGGTTGTCTCTGATGATTACCTGCAGAGCAAAGAGTGTGACTTCCAGACCAAGTTTGCACTCAGCCTCTCTCCAGGTAAGTTCAGGCTTGCCTCAGCTAAAGAGGGATGGGTAGTTATGGCCTTAAGATACCAGCCCTCCCCCCATCTAAAGTCCCAGGATGCAGGTCCAAGGCACAGCAGATCTCAGACCACCTTAGTGAATGTGCACCTGTATACTTATTTATGTAGCGGATATATGCTTTGGGTACCTAGCTGGTGGAGAGCTGGTGTTATCCCTTGGTTTGGGGACTGGTGTGCCTTACCATGGGGCAAGGGCCTAGTCCTAGCACCAAACTCATTGCCTGCAGGTGTCCAACAGAAGCGACTGATTCCCATCAAGTACAAGGCAATGAAGAAGGAGTTTCCCAGCATCCTGAGGTTCATCACTATCTGTGACTACACCAACCCCTGCACCAAGTCATGGTTCTGGACCCGCCTCGCCAAGGCCTTGTCCCTGCCTTGAAGATGGCTCTAGGAACCCTGGGTCTGTCAGTCTGTCCATGCTCTTCTGCCCTGCCTACTCCTGCATTGTAGGAGGGATCTGTGGTCCACTCATCTCTCCACTCCTACAAGTGCTAGCTCTACAATAGTGTCTGTGGTAGCCAGACATCATTTGGACACCATGCTTTGTGTCTTGCATGGAATCAGTGACTGAAGTGACATTATTATTTGCTGGGTTACCAGCCAGGACAGTGGTGAGGGTTGGCTGAGTCTAAGTAGAGGACAAGCTGAGCCAGAGTCAGGATCTGGAGATCAGGCAATAACTGTATTCAGATCTCTACAGGACATGGTAAGGCATTGCTCTGGCTCTCCTAGGAAAGATAGTCTTGGCTGAAGGAGAGCTGGTTACAGGACCACATACTGGCTGCTAAAGGGACCACAGGCTTGTTGGGACAGCTGCTTGCACAGTAGTGGAAGACAATGCCACCTTACATCCTTTTTCTTCCTTCCACAGGCAGATGGAGAAGCAGGCTGATGTGGAGCCTGATTCTCTAATGCCTCCCCATCTGCATCCCCTGCTCCGCTCAGCCTCAGCCCCATGTTCAGTAGCGACTGGCTTGAACAGCTGGGATGATTTTTCACTTCCTGTATATCCATGCCTATGGGCACATCTTAGTTCTGCCTTACCTGGGGTGGGATCTTGGCCTCTGCCATTTCCAATACCTGTGAGCTCTGGGGCTGAGCTGATCAGACAACTTTCCTCCCTGCCCCACCCACACAGATTTTTATTTTTAACCAACTTTCTGTACTTGATTATCTATTTTGTTGACAAGCAGCATCCTGCCCTTAGTGCTTGGAGGCATGTGGCTACATAAAGTCTTGCTCACATGGACACATGTAAGTGTCCACATGCTCCCTCATACACACAGGCATCTCCGTACATGTTTTCCTTGGAACAGTTTCTAAGGATGACTGGGTGGAAAAATCATTAAGGGGGTCTAGCCATCTCCTTGGACAAAAGTAGGGTGCTCTTTATCCAGATGGTGGCACAAACCTATAATTCTAGCACTTGGGAGGTGGAGGCAGGATGATCAGTAGTTCAAGACCATCCTTGACTAAACAAGTTCATTTAATCATAGAAAGAAAAGCCCAGAAAGGCCCCAATGTGACAGTATATAGGCTTTCAGTAAAGTGCAGATGAAAGAGGAGAGGTGCTCGGCCTCACACCAGAAGCCAGCTGCAGGCTCAGCTGTTGTCACCAAGGCAGTTCACACTTCCCCTCACACTCTCTATCAGAGAGATAATGTCATTGCCCTGGATCTTTGTGTCCAGGGCAGATGCCAGGGCCCTGAATCCAGTGGAAAATGGGCCTCTTCTCTGCTGTCCTTTAGCCAGGAGGAGTCAGGTGCCTTCCCTTGGGGCCTGGGGCAGGAATGGAGCCTACTCTGCATGACCTCAAGAAGCACCTTGATGCTTGATATTGGACATTTAAAGCAATTTGGAGAAAGTGTTGTTTATAATTGTTTTTTATGTTTTATGAGAACTTCAGTGAGGTAAATGGGAGAAACACCCGTGTTTGTCATTTATACTTGTGTATTCGAGGTTCATAATAAAGAGTATTCTATTTTGGGAAAGTATATTTATATGTGTTAAAGAGTTTGGAAGCAGTGAGTTCTAAGGCAGCCAGAGCTACGTAGTGAGACCCTGTCTTTAGAAGAAGAAAAGATTTAAGTAGATGGGAAAAGTGAGAGGAACATTTAGAGCAGAGAATGGAATAGTCAGACAAGACCTTTGAGGCTCAGTGGGATGACTGTGGGCATGGACCTTGGGCTGTAGCAGGGCCCTTGCTTATTTGGGCAGGAAGGAGTGTTGACTGGAGTGTGGGAGGAGTAAGGTCGAGGCTGCCTGTGAGGTGGATTAGACAAGTAGAAAAGCAGGGTTGCAATTTCTGCTTCAGGAAACTGTCCAAACAGAAACGAGAAAGGAAGTGGTGGTGGGCTGGCAGGAGTGACTCTGTGGTCTCCAAACTTCCTCTTTCCTGAGATCAAACTCCACTGGGCCCATTCAGGAATATTCTGTGCTTATAGCATGTCTCAAATTGAAGCAGCCACATTTTGAATGCCAAATTGTTACCTGTGGCTGGTGGCTACAAGACCGACCTACCCTGGAACCCTGCTACTAAAGGTCATGGTTCCTGGGCCATGTCATTGACATGACATCCCCTATTAGAAATAAGGTATTGTGGGGCTGGAGAGATGGCTCAGCCATTAAGAGCATGTGCTGCTCTTCCCAGAGGACCTGAGTTCAATTCCCAGCACCCACATCAGGTGGCTCAAAGAATATAACTCCGGCACTGTACTCAGGTACACAAACCCACACACAGACACACACATATACACATAATTAAAAAAAATAAAAAAGAATTTTAGAAAAGAAACAGGGTCTCACTATGTAGCCCAGGCTGGGTTGGAACTCTTGGGTTTGACTATCCTCCTGCCTCAGCCTTCCCAGTAGCTGGGACTGCAGAAAGAAAGAAAGAAAGAAAGAAAGAAAGAAAGAAAGAAAGAAAGAGGGTCTTGAGCTGGCCATGGTGGCACACGCCTTTAATCCCAGCACTTGGGAGGCAGAGGCAGGCTGATCTCTGAAATCAAGGCCAGCCTGGTCTACATAATGACCAGGCCAGCTGGGGCTACAGGGAGACCCTGTCTCAAAAAGACAAAAAAATAAGGTCTCAGACTGAGGATATGGCTCAGTGGTTAAGCACTGGCTGCTCTTGCAGAGTACCTAGGTTTAGTTCCTAGCACCCACATGGCAGCTAACAACTGTCTGTAACTCTTGTTCCAGGGAATCTGATGCCCTCTTCTGCCCTCCTGGGCATTGCTGATACTAGTGCACTTATATGCATGTAAGCAAAACGCCCACATATAAAATAAGTCCAAAATTTTTTTTTAAAAAAAAGGAAGAAGGTCTTTGGGGGTTAGAGAGATGACTCAGCAGTTAGGAGCACTTGCTGCTCTTGAAGAGGACCTGGGTTCAGTTCCCAGCACCCATATGTGGCTAAACAACCATTAGTAACTCCAATTCTAGGGGAGCCAATGCTCTCCTCTGGTCTCTGTGGGTATTGTATGCACATGATGCACTTACATACATGCAAGCAAAACACTCACACACATAAAATAAGGTAAAAAAATGAAAAATTTTCTTAAAAAAAGAAACAGGATTTCTCTTTGATGAGGAGATTATTGGAGATCGAATTGATCAGAATCCCAGTACTTATAGGGCAAAAAAACTATAACTACCATAAATAGAATTGAGAAAAACATGAATGTAGGAGGAGCAGTCTGGGTGGGGCGGGGCCTGGGTGGGGGCAGGCTCTCCACTCCAGGACTAGGGGCTGCAGGCTGGCAATGTAGACTGGAATGGAGGTGGTGAGTCCTGTGGCGCAGAGCTGAGAGCCCTGCGTTTTAAAAACTGGCCATGGAGAATCCATTAAAAATTTTGAAACAAAAGGCATACATGGAAGAAAATTAATGGACTCTGGAATATCCTTGGACAATAGTTACAAAATCGATTATCCTAAAACAGGTTTATGTATAATAATTAATAACTTTCATAAAAGCATCAGGATGTCACCTCAATCTGGTACAGATGTAGGCTCAGCCAACCTCAGAGAAACATTCATGAACTTGAAGTATGAAGTCAGGAATAAAAATGATCTTACCCATGAAGAAATTTTGGAATTGTTACACAATGTTTCTCAAGAAGATCACAACAAGAGGGGCAGCTTTGTTTGTGGAAGTCTAAGCCATGGTGAGGAAGGAAAAAATTTTGGAACAAATGGATCTGTTGACCTGAAAAAATTAACTAATTTCTTCAGAGGAGATTATTGCCAAACTCTGAACTGGGTTTTTCTAACGGGAAAACCCAGACTTTTCATTATTCAGGCCTGCCAGGGTACAGCGCTAGACTGTGGTATTGAGACAGACAGTGGCACTCATGAGGTAGTGAGCCAGAAGATACCTGTGGAGGCTGACTTCCTGTACGCATACTCCACAGCACTGGGTTACTACTCCCAGAGAAATTCAGATGGATCCAGGTTCATCCAGTCACTTTGCGCTCTGCTGAACGAATACTCACACAAGCTTGAGTTTGTGCACATTCTTATTCATGTTAACCGGAAGGTAGCCACACAATTTGAGTCCTTTTCTTTTGACTCCACTTTTCATGCAAAGAAATAGATCCCGTGTATATGTCCATGCTCACAAAAGAACTTTATTTCCCTCCCATTTAAATCTAATCTGATGCTCCAGGTTAGAACCATGCCACTGCCTGAACAATAGATCCATAATACAGCTACCTCAAACTCAACATCAGGTAGTTGAAGTTGAATTTAATTAGGAACAAATAAATGTTGATAATGGTACTATAATTATGAGAGGAATTTACTTTTTTTCATAATTAGCAAGATTTGATGATACTATGAATTTTCTCTTTTCTTTCTTTTTTTTTTTTTTGGTCTTTTTGAGACAGGGTCTCCTTGTAGCCCCAGCTATCCTTTAACTCACTGTGTAGACCAGGCTGGCCTCGAACACACAAAAGATCCACCTGCCTCTGTCTCCCAAGTTCTGGGATTAAAGGCATGCACCACCACGCCCAGCTGATACTATGAATTTTCAAGTGATTATGAAATTAAATGTTGCAGTGAGGGATTTTAATGACACTCCCTACACACATTAAGACTGTGCATCTAGTTTTCGTTCAACTATAGAAATGATGATATTTGGAATTATATGTCTTAAAACTTGGATCCATGGGCGGGGTCAAATGCTTGAACCTTTAAAAGTGAAATATAGAAATAATGAGAGAGCTATATTTTTGATCAGTCATGGTTTTGATCAGCTCATAGTTTTGTGAGTTTTGTCCTGAGAGTGTCTTTGTTGTTAAAAAAAAAAAAAAGAAAAAAAAAGAAAGAAATTATGAGCCAGGCATGGTGGCATACGCCTTTAATCCCAGCACTCAGGAGGCAGCAGCAGGCGGAGCTCTGTGAGTTCAAGGCTAGCCTGGTCTACACAGTGAGTTCCAGGATAGCTGGGGCTACAGGGAGACCCTGTCTCAAAAAGACAAAA